CCCCCAGGGGCAGCTCGCCCTACTCATCCAGCTGGGCCTCCTGACCGCGGTACACTCGTTGTTCTGTAATTGCTTCCATTCTTTTGGTAGCAAAAGGTAACTCACATTCAATACCATTAATGTAGACTTAATGTAAAAAAAAAAAAAAAAAAAAAACAGCCCAACATATGAACACGCAAGGCTTTACTCTCACATAGCACACAATGTGCAAGTGAAGTAACTGCAGTACCCCCTACAATGCCATATCATCGCCCTTCTGCCTCGCCCCACTTGGGCGGCGAACCCAACGTCTACTCCATCCTATGTAGACAGCATCACCACAGTAGGCGAAGTCGGGACGAAGAGTTTCACCTTCTGGTATTGGACAGACCTTAAAGACCTTCCTTGTTCATTCTTCCGCCTGAGAACTCGCGCAAGTGCAGACTTTCAACACGGACCCGCAATGCAAATTACAAAAGTCATGTAAATAAACATCGTTCGAGTCTTGACCCTCGAGGGCAGTGTCCATAACAGTATCCATTTAAAAGTCCAACAGAGGCGCACCAAGATGCACATTACTTACTCATGGTGTCTGCTTATTAACCCTTTGCAAACAAATGCAGCTCCTTTCTGCACTTACTCAGAATCGAGCTATCTAGATGCAGAATCGAGCTATCTAGAACACCGATCCGAAGTAAGTTCAAAATTTCCCGCTGTATAGGGCCGCGGGTACAAATGCCACCGTAAAGGGCCAACATCCAATATCAGGAAAAGTCTCATAGATGGCACAGAGGAGTAGTATCACTGCCAGAATTGTAATGAGTATCAGGCGGTCTCAAGACAGGCTGGGTTTTCTCAGCCACCCGGCTTGGTGATATCTCAGTAAAAATGACACTACCAGTAATAAGGCACACTGGACCCTTGCTAAACCCCAACCTTCTCTTTTCCCTCTTTGCAGGAAGACTTCAATTCCACCTTAACCCATCCAACTGGCCTACCAGTACAGCCCCTAAAAATGGTTTCACGAATTCATGACCTGGCTCCGATGATTTTTCCGACTCCTATGGATTTGCTGATTCTTCTTCTATTCCACCTTTTTTCTTCCTTCTTTCTATTTCTCTTCTTTTCCTATGTTCTGTGTCTGTCTCCCTTGCTTAAAAAAAAAAACAAGCAGTTCATTCAGAACAAGTCCCAAACCAGTTGCTTTTTTTGGTGCCCTCTCTTCCCCTATAATACAAAGCCATCCCTGTTTCATTAATGAGTACAATTAGGCCGACCCGTTTTCCAGCAGGTGAAGCTCCCCACCAATAGATGGAGCCTCTCCCCGGGTGCTAGTGGTGTCTGCTCTTACCAGCACCACTAACACTGCAGGAGGTGTGGTTTAAAAAAAAAAAAAAAAAAAAAAAAAAAAAAAGGCCTATCACAAGTCCTACATGGACGTTTCATTTAAACCGCAGTACACGGCCCCAGCCTTGCAGAAAATGAACTAGTCCCCACCAGGGAAAAGAATGCCGCGTTTTGGGGCCCCGGGCAACCGGACCTAAATGACTGCTGCCGCCAGCCAAAACGAAAAGAAAATGTCCCACTGGCACTTCGGCAAATTCCAGCACGCAGGTGCACGTCGATTTGGCGAAAGAGCCCAGGGTGTACACAGGCGGTTCGAATAGTGCACAACCTACGTGAGGATATCATCCAGGTTTTATTGTAAACTATGGCACCCCTTTAGTTTGTCTCTGAGCTGACCCACCACCCCTTCCAATCTTCGTTTCACTGACGCCCCATCTGTCATATACAATGCGCTAACCCAACTGCCCTTCAAGGCTTCTTCAAGGCTTCTTCAAGGCTTCCCTTGTACATTGCGCTAAACCTAGAATCTGCAGCTGTCTTCTTCAAGGCTTCCCTTGTACATTAATCATCCAGATAGCAGTTTCAACCTCTAGCAAAATGAGGCAGACATTTGAGCTTCAGGACAATTTCGGGCAGGATTTCTGGTGTCATCAATTGAGTACGTCTAAGATGCGTAACCTGTATTCCTATCTCTTAATGGTTGCTTCCCATGTCCCCTGCAATCGACTGAGCAGCTCCAAGATACTTCGTATACTGATTCCTTCGTATACTGCCATATGGACCCTTGTGGCATTGATTGCCGGTTTCCAAGTCCTGGGTCCATCAACCGCCACCTTATTCTGAGGGGTCTGATAAGAACTCTGTTCCTCAGCAAAAGGTATACGAACCCTTGTGGCTCCGATCTGAAGCCGATCATAAGCAAAAGGTATAGGTTTGGCAGAAATCTGCAGGCACTCTGTTCCTCCCCAACGTTTTGCTAACCTGCTAGGTAGATTCAACAAAAATAATGGCCGTATTGGCTGATCTACGAAATCTGTTAATTAGCTTATAACCTAGTCTACCAGCCGGGGCGCCCGGGTCCCGGGTGGCCAGCCCGTGCAAGGACCAGAAGGTCCAAGCAAAAAAAATAAAATAAAAAAATCCGAATGTTATACTGTGTAACTGTGTAACTTATACAGAAAAATTAACTGAACAATAAAACTATGTTATACTGTGTAACTTATACAGAAAAATAAACTGAACAACTTTTGCCTCAGGGTCATATCGAAATTATTTACCAAATTAAAATTTTAAAATAAAATAATAAAATATTAATATTTGTTTTTATTTTATTATTTTTATTTTTTTGGCCCGGCCGGGCAAGTGACCCCGGGCCACTCTGGTAGCCTAGCTTATAACTGTTTTGTGGAGACAAGATCAGGATCAGGACTTATCTCTTGCATTCGATGGTGCTCATCACCCTCCCTTAAGAGCCTGCAATACTGAACATCTCATCATACCTGCAAGACTTCTTAATCCTTGAAGCCTGTGGATCCAAATAGACCTTTCTCAAAGTGTTTATGTTATTTACACTTGTGATAGTTTAGGAAATGAGGTACCATATAAGTACATAGGAACTCTAATCAAGGTTGTGCTGGGAACCGGGCCCAGCAAGAACCTATCAAGCTTGAAGCTACTGAAAAATAACCAATTCCGGATGACGACGATACACGCTGACACCTATTTGTTTTTTTCTTCTTTTTCTTTTTTTTTTTAATAAAGCCACCCGTATCAACAGACAGGAGTGATGGTAAGAGCATGCGGTCCTACCTGTCGTCCAGGGGCCTCCAGTCTATTGGTGGGGAGCTATCACCTGCTGGAAAGCGGGTCCAGCGTCCCCTGAGTTACATTGTTGACACCTATTGGTTCTGAGTTAAGCGATCTGTTCCCCTTTACAGCGCACAGTATTGTAAAATGATCTACGCACGCCACCTTTCCGCCATAAGATCATGACTGCCCAGAGTTTCTCCCAAACCGATCTCTCCATACCTGATTATCCCCACGAGACTTTTAGCATCGCTGCCACATTCCAAACCAAACCGATCTATCCATACCTGATTATCTGCACAAGATTTTGAGCACATCGCTGGATCAGTTAGTTACCGCATTGCCACAATTCCTACCGTCTTCCCCCGAACACAACGCACCCTTTTTTTGGCTGTATCTGGCCGGAAATATAGCTTGTATACATTCATTTTTAGGGTGCGTTACGTTCTGGGGAAGACGGTAGCCCTGCTACACTACTAGATGGGCTACCAACTCACGAGGTAATGGTTGCTTGAAGCAGAGGTTGGCTATAAACTCGATTCTCCGTTCCGGATTTCAAAGACAATATTCTGAAATGACTCATGAGTAAAAAAGAATACTTCCTGAATCTCAAAATGGATACCATGCATGTTCCAAAAACTTCCATCTATCATCTACCCTACAAGTTTCCGCATTTACGGTGGTAATCTTACACTTCATGGTGGTGGTGATTTAGCACGACCCTGTTCTTGTTGATGCCCCACAGATGGCCCTTAAATAGCTTGTTTATCCATTTTGGTTTCTCCAGAAATTTTCACTTGAATCACCTTGTGTATATCATTAGGATTACTTCCCCACTAGCCAAGCTTCTGGATGAAATTTTCCCACCTATCTTGTTGCTTATTTAAAAGTGTAGCCATTCCGTCAATGTTCCATCAGATTATTTCCAAATCTGGCCTTGAAGTAGAAGATGATTGCCCCCTCCCTCCCCCCCCCCCCCCTCCCAAAGCTGTTCGACCCTGCCGTGCGCCTTCAAGTAGCGACCCCGGGTGACGATGCCCATCTTCGCTTGCCACAGCCTCCACTACAAGCCGTCTGAGAGTGTCGTCGCGAAGACTGCACTCACCGCCATTGGGCCGAATAGTCTCCACCAAAGATTACCCAACCGCAGCATCATTCTCCCCTCCCTTCTTCTTTCAGCTACTACTGAAACAGAGAGAGTTCAAACCGATTCGCTAGAATCTGCGCCCTCTTCACCAACATACCCTGATCGGCCAGAAGCAGTCTGGATCTGGTTATACCTAAGCTACCACCTCAGGGGCAATCTCACAAGCCCCAGCAATCCATACGGTAATGTGATTTCGTGGAGAGGCCACGATGAGTATGGGCTTTAGAAAGGGGGAGCCAACAGTGGGGCAATCTCACCCGCGGTTTATCCACCCTATGACATCAGGTGGAGGGAGATTTCATCAGGGAAGTAATCGTTGACGAACATACGACAGAGATTGCAAACAATGGAGAAATTGAGGCAGGGAGGGAGCAGGAAAGAAAAATCATCAAAAGGAAAAAGAAAAGCCAGTCAGCAAGTACAGAGACAGACACGGGGATGGGGCAAAAGAAGTCGGCATGGGAGTGGTGAGTTATAACGTGAACACAACAAGGGAATCACGGATGGATGCGGGCGGATGCAGCATCTGAGATTCAAGCACAGACCAAGGGTTGTAATGGTATGGAGAATGGCAGGCAGGGAGGATGTTAGGATGGACACGAGAGAAGGGGGATGACGTCATTTGTTCAGGAGCAGGTGCAGGGAAAGCGCAATCCGATGGATCAGCACGACAGAGAAGCGAGCATGTAAGAAAATATGGATATACCTTCACAGGACCATTCACTGGGGAACTCAGGTTCTCAGGAGTGGTCGGATGTTGGGGGCAGGAAGAGGAGAGGGCATGACGAGCTAACTCCAGAAAATCGGGTGTTTCAGGATACAGCAGGTGGGGAGGAATGGGGAAAGGATAAAGGGGACCACGCATCAATGTAGTTATCGAACGAAAATATAAAAAGGGAGCAGGAGTCGACGGAGAGTTGGATGAAGGCTGTCGAAGAAAGCCATTGTTGAAAAAGAACGGCCAGGGGAACTCCTCAAATCTCAGGCTGGCACCATATATAAACTACACACCATGATTCTCCTTGTTTGTATCATCATGTGGGGTGTCCCGCCTTCTGCCCGCTCCATTGCCGCCACCCCTGCTATGCGCTCCCCTCCCTGCATTACCATGACCACCATGTCCACCACCGTTACGACCATGCGACACCGCAGGCTGTACTTCAACAGGGCTTGCCACATCAGTTCCCTCGGCTGTCTTATCCGCAATATGGCCGATTGATGACCCACTGACTAGAGCATTTGTTCTGCCAACGTGGGCCCTCAGTGGACTTACAGAAGGATGCCTCTGGGCTGGTCGTACCCCACTACCAGCGCTCCCGCTGGCTCCGATGGCTTCCCCTTCCCCTCCACCGTTGGTCCTCTCCCTGCCCTTGAAGTTGCCGCCCCTTCTGCGGTTAATTCCACTCGTACTTGGCTGGCAATCATCTTCAACCTTTCCTTTCCTCCGCGTATCGGCACCTGATGTATCCCCATCCGGAGTACGCACAGTTGCTGGACTCTGCTGGCCAGCCGCAGCAAGGTCTTGTGCCTGACTGGGTTGTACTCGTTCCATCAGTTCGGCATCGATCACAGCAATTTTTGGACCTTTCTTCCTCTTCCCACCAGAGCGCGCAGGCCGGTCTTTAGCCTGCAATGAGAAGTAGGCAATGCGAACGAAGACAATAAGTAGACAGGTTTGAGCAGCTTGCCCATTCATTTACAGTGAGTGACAAAGCAATACCATGAATGAATTTGGCTACTCCAGAGATGATGACATAAAGAACGGCTAACCAAGGGACAGAAACAGACAAGAGTCCAGGGATCATCCCATAAGATAAGCCTGACTCCCAGCCTATGCAGTCCGATGCTCATGCCCGTAAATGACAGTGTCATTCAGCAGGAATGTTGAACCATGAAAATCCCACCTTCACACCAGGTTGCTAGCAAACACAACAAAGAAGCACCGGCACGCAGGGACTTCCGCACCATTTCCCTACGTACATTCGTTCCCCTACAGACCACAAAAAGAAAGCGAGTTCAAAGTTCAAACACTAAGACCGAAAGAAGGCCGGTCGTCGACAAGACCACGACTTGACCATTCTGGGATCTGTCAAACCTTAAGGTTTCCTCTGAAAGGCGCAATAGAGTTTCGCAAGAATAGGCAGGATGCGACTTACAATGTTGCCAATATCAGTCAGTGGCCTCCGAGCTTGTTCTGCCACGACACCTCCGTCTCCCGCCTGTACAGGGGCATCAACCTCTGTTGGAAATTCATCGAGAACTTCCACCATCCTACCCATCTCCCGTAGATGGTGACCGAGGACTTCCTTAGCTCTGTCCACGTCCTCGCGGCCAGCATGACCCCTGCTTCTCCGCCTTCCCCCTTTTCGCCTGTACACCTTTCCGCTGCTCGTCTCCTCCGCTTTCTTTTCCTCGCTGCCAATGCAGTCGCTTTGCAATATATCCCAAGCCGACTGCATCTCTTGCCTGACTGCTTCCTTCCTCGCTGCTGGATCTATCGTAAAATCATCCTCATCGTGCACAGCGCCCCCCGCTTTGCCAGGCCTGTTACTGCATTTTGATGATCTACAGCCACACGACTGATCGCACTGCATCCCTGCACCCCTGCAGGAACAGTGTTTCATGCTGATGCACTTCCCTTGGCATCTACATTTCTTTGGTGGGTCAGAAGGACCCGCTTCATCAGTTGTGTCCAGGGTCTCAGGAGCCGGATAGTCATGTTCACCTTCTCTTGTCGTCACAGTCACCGGCAGCCCAGAGGATATAGGCTCTCCCTCTGAGAGCATCGTGTTGTGACTGGGAAGGGTTGATGGGGGGAGAGGGGACTGATCTTCAATAAAATTCTTTAGTCGGTTTGGTCTGAAGCTGTTCCGATTCCTGAACCTTCGGCGGGGTCGATATCCATGCTCGATCTCACAAGCTGAGGGGCTAGACAGCCCCTTCTCAACAGCCCTGCTTGCCTCCACCTCGGTTGGGAACCAGTCAGGATCCCGTGCTACTGAGCTGGGTTCGTCGAGACCCCGGTCCGTTTCCGCTGGGCTTCCAAGAATCTGGCAACAAGTAACGATAGCATACAAACCGTGTGTCAAAAGGAATCGAGAAGCAACCACACAAGATGTCATCAGTTCAAGTATACTTTAGCAAGGAGTAAAAACAAAGAATATTATTCTTCAAAAAGCTGGTCCCATGCGCACAAAAAGAAGAGAGGGGATTCTCAGCATGAATAACAATATAGAGTTCAACACAGCCAGAAAAGGGACAGGAGACGAAAATGTCTATAGAGGAGAGGAAGCGGTCTCAGTTTTCTAAGGCTAAAAAACACAAGGTGTATTGGAGGGTGCACGGACTTGATTGAGCTCATCATGGGTGAATTAGGCGCACAAAGATTGATTTAGAACATACTTGCGGCGCATTTGTACGGTGCGCCGTGCGGTGCACGTGCACAATGCGGCATGCGGAAATTAGTGCCGGGCTGAAGATACACGATGTTTTGTTTTTTGTTTTCGGTGGGGTGTATGTGTGTATACACGAGAGAGAGTGAGAGAGACAGTGAGAGAGACAGTGAGAGAGACAGTGAGAGAGACAGTGAGAGAGAGAGACAGCACATCCTCATAAATTAGAGGACCCCTGCAGAGAAACCGAGAGATCCTTCCAGTGCAACAGTAAGGTCCCACCCTCAAGCAGAAACAGGTAAAGAATATATTGTCTGCATTCGGATTCAGATCTTTTCTTCAGCAGTTATGGGTCACGAACATAGCTAGACCACACTGGTCTCTGCACATGATTCTCAGGACTCACCAAATGTGCAAAACTAGAATGAATCTTCGCCTAGAACATGGAACCATACGCCGCCATATGATTTGTGCACGTGGTGAGTAGTATTCATAAGAAAAGCGAAACAAAGACAGGAGCATCCCGTACAGAGACCAGCAGGGCCTAGCTGAGTTCGAACCCATAACTGCTGAAACACAGACCTGAATTCAAATCCAGACCATATATTCTTGGCCTGCTCATGCCGTTCTGACTCGTCGACAATGTACTCCGTGTGGAGATCAGCCCTTAAAAATGCTTTTGGACGGGCCCCTCCGCAAAAGACAATCCAATTCGGATATGCACACACCCACACACACACATGCGCACAGTTCGTGGGCACAACGTAGGCCCAATTTGATTTTTCTATATTTCGAAAATCTAAAAGGGAGGGGCACGTTTGGCCACCAAACCCTGCCTCTCTCAGAATGTTTTACCGACCCCTAATTTATGGGTGCACCGCATCACGTGTGTGCGCATGCACTATGCGCCGCAAGTGGTCAACTCGTGCGCACGCGATGCACCGCGAGTATGGTTTATGCGCCGCAAGTGCTCAACTCGTGCGCACGCGATGCACCGCGAGTATGGTTTAGAATGTCGACTTGGTCATAACCATAACGGGTTCAAATTGTGACTAGCTAATAGAACAGAAACCAACTGCTACTTCCCAGAAGAATAGGAGCTAGCCAAAGGATCTGTTGACATATAGAAAGGTCGGATTTATTATGTTTGTATACTGATAGCAGGTATATTCTACCCTGCCAATAAATAACACAGGCTAGTGGAAAAGGAGCCTTGTTTTTGCAAAAAAAAAAAAAGAAGAGAAAGACAGAAACCGGAGAGAGACAAGCGGCCTAGCTCAGTTGGAAGAGCACGCAAGGTCGTTGGTTCGATTCTCCACATCATCCGTTCGGTCACCCACAGCCCCCTGTAGCGCAGTTTGAGTTCCCCAGCTGAGATAGTTGGTCTTGGCAGGAAGAAGGGCCTTGCTTGGCAGGAATAAGGCCTCGCCATCCCTCTCTAGGGATTAGAGAGCTTGGGTACTGCTCCCCGCGCAGAGTAGAGAGCTTGCTGGTAACATACTGACGGGTGCCCTGGTGGTCTGGGTCTGTTCGCTAGCAACGTCCTGATGGTCTGAGGAGTGCCCCAATGGTCTATATATATGTTGGTGAGTGATAGTCTACTTATGGTCTGAGGCGTGCTCCAATGGTCTACATATATGTGGGGGTCTACTTTCATTTTCGTCACAGGTACTTTGAGGGCAGTTGTTGGCACCCACCTCAGGGTATCAGTTGTCGGGCGGTCATTGATGCTTAACCAAAACCGGGGTTAAGGTGAATTATCACTTACAGTGTAATCAGTTAGGGGATTCTGCAGACTGTTGAGGGTTCAGCCTCCTGATGAGTCGGTGAAACTCCGACAAAACAGTTTGTCACAGCCCCTCGTTTATTGTCCTCTTCTCCCTCTCTGCCTGCGGTTTACCGGGCAGGTCCAGGCAGGGAGGGAGAAGAGGACAACAAACGAGAGGCTATGACAAACTGTTTCGTCGGAGTTTCACCAACTATAAATATAGCTTATATGTATATATAGCTTTCCCCCGACGAGGAAAATACAACTTTTCTTTAAAAAAAAAGAGAGCGAACAGGACCCAGAATGGTGCCAACTAGAATAGAATGCCACCTACCCTTGGGAACAAATGATGGCACATGCATACTCGACAATTCTACAATCCAACAGGAAATGCAGGCAGGCACATAGACAAAACATTGTGGACTACATCAGTCGAGAAGGCAGCACAGCGCTCAACCAACCTTGGAAGGAGAGAGAGGTGAAAGCCGGCCACGATGAAGCATAGGCATCGTTGCCAATAAACCATTATGATTGATTTGCCTTTCCAATTGGGCTCGAATGGCTTCGCTCTGCTGAAGGCTTAGCCTGAACTCCTCTGATTTATACCTCGCTGCCTCCAGCTCTGCTTCCAGGTCCGCCTTCTCACATCTGCAAAATCAACATACGGAATCACAGTGAACGCGTGCCCCGCCATACCTCTCAGTACACAGCAGTATACGGACTTGCATTTCAGTGAAACAATCACCTGAGACTGCAAACAGTGCTTCGACGCACCATATACATTGCAAAAGCAATTACCTGAGACTGCCAACAATGCTTAGACGCTCCAAAGACATTGCATTTACAAGACGATCACAAAGGACAAGGGCTGCAAACAAGGCCAGAACGAAACAAAGGTCAGTGTAGAGATCAGACAGCATGTACCTTGCGCTGGTCGTGCACTGGAATAGGTGAGTCAGAAGGTATCGAGCCTCCAGCATGTTCTTGATATGTTGCCATCTCTCTTTGGCACTGGCACCATCCAGTACCATGCCCTTTCCAGCCTCGTTGACACTGAGAAGCTGGGCCTGGAATTCTCGGATGTTATCAGATCGCCGTGCAATCTCTGCCTTCATGACAGCTATTTCTGCAGCCACACGCTTTGGCGAGTATCCAGGATAGATCTTCGCCGGAGTACCATCCTGGCCATCAGCATTACCGCATCCATTCTCATACTCCCTCTTCTTTGCTTCCAGTGCCTCCAGTTTCATACCAAGATCTTTCCTCCTGTAGATGCACAGCATAGCAAACATTATAAGCTAAGAGAAGTGCATACTGGGAAAAGGCGGTCACAAAGGATAGAAGACAGCGACCAACGGCAATAACAGAGGACAAAACAGCGGACTGCGTAAAGGAAGCATGGCTACAGATGCAGAAAAATGATCCAGAAGCCCTACAGGGTAAACTCACATCACGTGCAGTCCTAATCAGCAGATAACACAAAAATGGGCTCTCCACAACTGAGCTCCGATCAGTCAAAAATTCACTACGGTAGCAGAATTCTATGCCCAATAACACGCAGGGACATGAGCAGCAGCATCACTATTCCTATGCATGTCCACGAGGGAAAATGAGCAGCAGCAAAACACCATCCACATGAGTTTGACAACCGGAAAACGAACAAATGAGCGAAGTCATTTAGTTACCTGTTCATTTCTTCAGCTCGAGCTTTGGTAACTTCGTGAACCCTCAAATGAAGCTCAATTTCTCGCTCGATCCATTCACGCAGCTGACGCTCACTCTATAAAAATTGTAAACAGAGCACACAACAAAGGAGAACCATTCACAAGTTCACTATGAGAATCGTCTGAAAACTCTCTCTTTCTCTCTCTCTCTCTCTCTCTCTCTCTCTCTCTCTCTCTCTCTCTCTCTCTCTCTCTCTCTCTCTCTCTCTCTCTCTCTCT